ATAAACCACCTACTGTTAAAATACAGATCAAAAACTAATGCACTAGTTCCAGTTTCCAAAGCAATAATAGCTAAATGGTGATATAAATAGAAACACCACAGGTGTTCTGCTGAGCACAGGCCACCATGAATAACAATTTTTATGTGTGAAGCATAGCTGGAAATATTGGTAATAGAAACTGTGGTACAGGAGGTTAACAACAGACCAAGTGGATAAGACTTAAAGTTCTTAATAATGAAAAAAAAAGTGTCTTTTATAGAAAGCTTTAATAAAATATGCTTTGAAATTCATCAGCAGTGCTTTTTAAGGGGCAAGGTTTCCAAAGGTCCTGAGGAGGCACTTCAGTCTCACTGAGCTTCAATGACAGGTGGACACAGTTCCCTGAGATGTTTTGAAGCATCCTGCAAATTCCTCCACATCTCAGTTTCAAAGGGTTTTGAGGACAGGAGCATGTCTGCACTGGGCTTTGAGTAATGCTGTGTGCAATCTGATGCTGGAAATACTCAGCAGAGGGGCTTCAGGGTCACAGCGTGTCCCAGCAACGGGCGAGGAGCCATGCGCTGACCCAAGCAAGGCTGCAGCCCTTTGCAACCCCACGGCTTTGCACCCAAGCCTCTTCCTTGGTATTTGGCTCCGTCCCAGGGGGGGACTGCAGCCAGCTCATATGGCCAGAGGATGCTACAGCATGCAGGTGTGGAGGCTGCAGTCTGCTTCTGACCTGGGGACACACTTCCCTGCACACCTCGCCAGTGGTCCCAAGGCGCCAGGAGCGTGCGTGGGGGCTCACCCCCAGCTCACCCTGCATCCCGGGCCCGGGGAGCCCGGCGTCTAATTAAAGAAATGCTGCCTGCTCTGGGATGCCTCCCAGCTCGTCGCTGGCATTTCTGTGATTGACAAACAGGCAAAACTATATTTATTCAAGGATTATCTATATTGAAAACTGGACGCGGGATTTTGTCTTTGTAAACAGTGCAGTAATATCCGCTGTTTGAACAAAAGGAAGGGTATACTTTCCTTCCATTTAAAATACCAAAAGCTCCCATATTTAAGTGAAAAGGAGAGACATTGATCCTGCTTGCTGAAGGTTTTGGGGTGGTTTTTTTTTAAAGATCTGTGACTAAGGAAGCTGTGGGTTGATTTTTGCGTTATTGGAAAGGTTATTAAGAAGCACACAGCATATAAGTTATTAGAGAGATGCGTGCCCTTGAAAACAGCCCTTAAAATCTTGCACAATTAGGAAAATTCAGAATGATCCAGCATATTTCCTCATAGCGAGAAAAGTCACTTTGATATATTGAGGACCGAAAATGTAACACTGCATTGCTCTGAATAATAATTTTATTTTGAAAAGCTACATTTGAAGAGAGCACTTTGTTACAGATGGGAGCACAGCTACTTTCATGAACCTAAATTAGGCTACAGAGAAATAGATCCTTCAAACATGAACACGCTTGTTGACAGTTTCACTGTTGCTCAGACAGATCAATCACCCACCTACTAATAATCCCATAGATGTTCAGATATCAAAGGACGGAGTCAGTACATCAGCCATATGTATTGGTCAAGAGACAAACAATACACAGGATAAAAGAATTTTCCCCAAATATTTGTCAGTTAAACCTATTGTTTATGCAAAATACTGAACTGGCTGCTCCCCAGGGTAGGTCTCTTCATCCACAGAGCAGAAGCGGAATGCGTAACCAAAAAGGTCCCCCATCATTAATGTGCATTTACTGTGCTCTGAAGGACAAGAGCAGCGGTTCAAGGGCTTTGTTTTGCTTGGCCAGCTCAGCTCCCTCTTTTCCTAGGACTTGCGCTGACATGGTGGGACTCATGCACATGCTCAGGGATGCTTTCCAGACAGAAACAACTGGCCAAACATTTTGCCAAACTGGAGCTAGACCTGAAAGCAAGCCTCCTCTGCTTTTTCATCCCTCTTCTCTGAATGGAAGCTGCCAAGGCAGTACTCAGTCAAGCTGGGAAGTGCCCAGTGTACAGGTGGCAGTGTCATCACTCTCATTCCATTTCCCACCAGCACCAAAGTGGACACCAGTCTTGGAGTTTGTCAAGAAAACCCAGCAAGCAGACCCCACCAAATACTGCCTTCTCAGTGTCAGCACCTTTTATGAGCTCTCTGTCCTTCCTAACATAGGATGCCATCTGGTTTTGGGATGGGTCTCATTTTACACCATGCTCCACCCATCAGGCATGGCCTGATCTTGCATACTGTATGTCCCTTGTATCTTTGGACTGATCCCCAGTCCAACCTGTCTTGTATCTATTTATACCTTGAAGTCAAAACCCACCATGACTGGTATACAAGTTTCATTGCCCCCTACACCTGCCTGGGTCTTCTTTTGGGATGGGAAAACAGGGCTGTCTGAAGGAACAACTATTGCATCCAGAAGCCATGGACTCTAGCTCTGCCTTGGAATAATACAGCAGACTGCACAAATCATACTGCCTTTCTGCCTTGGCTCCCCAGGGTGTATACAAAGGGGGCTTTACCTCACAGAAGCATTGTGAGAATTAATTAATGTTTATGAAATGCTTTTAATACATAGGGGATGACCTGAACATGCTTATACCGTGATTTCAAATAATGTAATTCCATTGACATCTGAATCCCTTTTTACACTAGGATGAACATGTTCAGAATTAGGCAGGGAAATATCTCTAAAGAAAAGGCAGGTTCCTCGCAAAGAATTTAAATTAAATAATCATTATTACCTTGTAATTTATGATCTGAACACAACCCCTTATTTTGGTAAATAAAGCTCAGATGATTTCTTGTGATGTGCATATTGCTAAAATTCAAGTATTGTTGAACATATGTTGTTTTTCTGTTTAGCTGCTTTTTTCTCTCCTTCAATCAAATACACAATTTATTTTTTTTAAGCAAATGTCAAATGTTGAAAACAACACTGATATCTTACAAGTTTCCATCTGGACAAAGATATCACTGTCTAATTTTTTTGCTTGCCTTAGAAGCTGGTCAGAGGAATAGTACTGTCAGCTGAACTCATTTCTATTTCTTAAACTTGCATTATTAATTTTGCATCATGATAAGATATTTACTCAGAGGCAGCTAGTTCTTTCCTTTTAAAGTGATATTATTTGCAGGAGTGACCACACTTTTTTTTTCCCTGAATGAAGTTATGCAAATCTGATCGACTAAAGTAAATGTTTCATAAAACCAATGACTGTTTAAATTGTGGGACTAAATTGTTTGTATATAAATATTACCTTTTATATTCCATTTGAGTTTTATGTAGATGAACACATTACTTTAATGACCTGCATTTACAGAGGGAGACAGGGAGAGTCTGACTCTGAAATCCTCAGCAGCCAGATGGCTGCCTTTTCTTGCATGAGATTAAAAGATGTTTCTCATTCACAGCCCTGCTTCAGAGGCAAATTAATATAGCCAGCTAAATTGCTTGTGTTTTTGGAATAAAATTTAAAGAGAACTTTTTAAAGCAATTGGTGTCACAGGTTCCTAGAGCAGATTGCTCTCCAGGTACAGCATGCTGGTTTTAAACATTCAGTAATTAATGGAAAGTATTCCGTGTTAATTGACTGCTTCAGGAAAGGGAAATATAATGACTCCTTATTAATCATGAAAAGAGACATACAGCACGGAGGCACTGCAATAATTGCACTAACGGTTGAGAAATGTTAATTAATGAAAAGAACAATGATGTAAGAAATTAGCTACATAATGCTTGCTGCTGATGGAGATTGTGCTTTAAACACATTATTTAGCATGGCAGCTACTAGATGTTGCCTTAAATAGCAGGCACCTCTTACCCTTTCCTTCAGTCAGCTACGGAGTTCCAAATGTTGCCGGTGTTTCGGTTTTTAACGAGCCAAAGGACACTCCCCAAAACTACATTTTGTGAAGCGTTTTCAGTTTGAACTCCTGAACTCAAAACTATTCAAACAGATTGACAGCATTCAACCTATATAAAAATATTATCCAAGTGTAAGAGAGCATGTTAGTATTCGGGGGGGAGGGGAGGACATGACTTCTTGTTAGATGGGCTGAGCTAATAGGTTTGTCAAGAAGAAAACTGCATTATGACTGCTTTCCCTTTTTTAATTTTTCCACTTTTTACCCAGTTACCTATTCCCTGAAGAGTTTAGGGTGATCATCCTATCATATTTGTGCCTAGGTTGATGTGAAAACCCATAGGATTTTAAACTACAGAACAGTTCTGGCAACTAATCCAACAGCAGTAGTATGGAGCTCACAGCCATTAACAGATTGAAGGCCCCAAGATTTCCACCATCACTCCTTTAGACAGCCACAGGGTCAGACATACATATCCCTCTCTCTGAACACTTTAGAGCAGGTCAAACTATTGGTTACAAATAAATTGCCTAAATGTGTGGCTTTTTTTTTTCTCTTCAGGATCAGGATTTGGTTCTTATGGATGTCTTCATATCTGCATGGTCATCTGTGCAAGGAAATGTCAGCCTGTGAGGCTTTCAAAAATTTTCCACAAAAATGCTGTGGAAATTTTGGCCACCTAAGTCACATGTAATGTTGGCTGTATGACTAGGGGAGGGTACTAGTGTATGACAAATGGTAAATAAAGGTAGAATAGCAAAAGCATTCATTTTAACTCTGCCATTGCAAGCATAAATTATAGATATAGAAAAAATCTGCTAAAGAAATGCTAAATGAATGTTCATCAAATACAAAATGCTTTTGTAAAGAGTAGCTCGCAGCAGGAGGCCTCCATTTACACAAGACAGAAACACAACCCTTAAAACAGTGGGATTACAGTAATCTAAAACCATCCTAGAGAGGGATTCAGTCCACAAGTATAAAAGCCAACAGTGCAGTGCTTCCTGCATCATACAACAGGGACAGAACTGGTTTTATCCCTCATCCTTCCAATCCACGTGCTAGCCTTGGCTGATTTTCCCGGGGCAGCTCTTTTGCAGCCATTCCTCCACCCAGGTGTTTTACTGCTCCTGAATTTCTTTTCCAGATGGAACATCCTTGGGCTCCAAGGTGCTCTCCTCAGCTCCTTCATCGAACCCATGTACTTGCACAGCATCATTGTGGGAAGCCTCTGTCACACTGGTCACCTTTCCCGGGTAATGAGCCATAGAATAGAAGACATTGGTCAGCTGCCAGCTTCATACCGGCGCAATCAGCTGCTTCTCAGTGGTAAGCAAACACCTGCCTGCAAGACAAATGGTCCCCTCTCCCATCACTAATTGTGCCAGTCACCAACAGCAAAGTTTACTTGTTCGTAAGTAAACCATTACCTCATGCCTTCTTTTCCTTTATGAATTTGTAGAATGAAGAAACCGATGCATTTAAATGCATTTAAATTTTTCATATGCAGTGACCACAAAAAGGATCAGTAGTGCATATAAGCTGACTAGGAAAACTAACACTGTACAAAGACTGCTCAAAATGGAAAAAAGTGTATGACTAAAAGATTTCAAAAAACCAGGGAGAAAGGTTTCAGTAAACCTTGGGTTTAACACCCTCCCATCCCGGTCTCCTTCACCAAGTGAGCACACTAATGTGTTGGGTCAGGAGAACCAGCCCCCACACCTCTGGCCCTGTGCATGCAGCCTCACCATACATGCCCCTCACTCGGAGCACCTGCTCCTTCCCCACTTGCTAGCCATTGTGTTCAAAGCAGGTGGCCATGAGAAAAGGGCAAGCCCCTGCATGTTCAGCAGACCTCAGGGATGCTCAGCTGCCATCTGATGAGGCTGTTGCCTGTTGTGTGAGCATCTCTGTGATTTCCAGCTATCTTTTGGGCTACTTTCACTACCAGCACTTCTCCTTCCCAGTCCCTGTCCAGGGTCTCTGGTCCTTTCTTCTCCATCCCCCTGACTCCTGCTTCCTTAACCACTAGCTAGGCAGCATCTGTCTGGCCTCATCCCAGCAAAATCCCAGAGTCTTGAATGCCTTCAGATCCTCATGAGGCATGTGAGTGCCAAGGACCACCAGTTCTGCACAGGATTAGACCTTTACATGACTTTTAGACTCTGATAATTGTTCTTCAGTTTTCCCTGAGACACCTATCTGATGTCAGGCTTACAGAGATGGGATGTCAGGGTGCTTTAGTGGAGTACACCAACGCCTTTCAAAGTCCTCTAGGTTCTCCAGTCAGGATAGCGCTCTTTTATCCCTTATCTATTTCATGGTGGCTCTTTTCTTTAATATGTACTTGTGACAGAATTAGTTTGGCTGCAGAAGTGATAGTTTAGCCACTGGGAAAATTCTCAGGTTCTGTGTGGTTTAGCACATCTGGTAAGTGTACTGTTCATGTACGTGTTATGAGGGGAGTAGGTCTTATCCTTATTTTAAAAGCTTATCTCAATTTGTTAATTCTTCAGTGCAGCTAGCCAAAGCTTGTGCAATGCAAGTGTGCAGGAAACTGTGCTCCACACTCCTCCTCCGCCCCATGTCCCTACTGCTCTGGTCCAGCATGGGCATGACTCAGCCTTGTCTTCCTTCCCATGCCACACCATGAGGGAGGAAGGAACTCACGGCAGGTCAGGAAAATCTCCCTGTTTCCCAGACCTGTCTGTTATTTTGGTAGTACACCCCTGTTTTCCAGAGGCTTCTGCATATCCCACTGGGGAAGATGATCTCATCCTGTGCCAGCCCTAACTCCATATAGGTCTACACATAAAGATCAAAATCATACCCACTTCCACTGTGTCTGCAGGATGTACAGGGAAACCCTATGAAACCCTCTTGAACTGCTGAAGGACTAAAACCACAGTAAGCGATTTAATAAGAGATTTAACCACAGAACACCTATTGCTTTGCTGAGTTGGCCTTGCGAAGTAAAAGTAATGGTTCATACTTGGCCCAAGTGCGTATTTATGTCCAAGAGTAATTGCCAGAGACTTCAAGGGAGTTAGAAATGTATCACAGGGGCCCTTCTGTCACTTTAAATATCTGCATGTTTCATGGCTGGCTTCCTCCTTCCCAGAGACTTCTGTTTGGAAAAGATTTTGCTTTGCTTTTGGTTCTATTTGTGGGTTTTCTTCAGCCCAGGAAAAGCAGTGGGAGGAATCTGTCTCTCTGTCTACATTTTTATTGCCTCTAAAGCCATTATTTGTAATCTTTCCTCCCTCACAAATCCCAAGGAGACAATACTGCTTAAAACTTACATTGCTGAGGTTTGTGCTGCATTTTTTACCTGGAAAACTGTGCTGACAGCATATTCAGTGACTAAGGAGATGGACACCTAGCAAAAGCCAGACCAAATGCATAAGAGACCAAAACTCAGCAACTGCAACCAGGCAACTCCACTTTCCATGCTCCTCTTAGGCATCACGCCACTCAGGGACTTCAAATTGCAGGACCCCATCAATTATAAGGATACAAATTTTGCCACTCGATCGTATTGTTACAAACATTTCAATGGAGGGGAGAGTCAATGTGGGATGAGATATCCTGAGATAACTCCTTGGCCCCACAGGAAAATAAGCAGTGAAGTTTTCCCACTCACACCAGTCCCAGCCAGATGGAAATCCACTCACTGGTCTTGTGATGTGAAAATATTCTTGGGTGCATTATTTCAAAGAACGAAAAGCCCTGTGTCATTTTAATTTCCCCTTCTCTTAAAATTGAGGCCATTCTAAAGGGTATCCTGAAGAAGCATGAGGCTTTACTAGGATAGAGAGGAGAATGAGAACACATTTCAGTTCATATCCCAAAGTACTCAAGTTCATACTATTTGTACAAAGATTTTTTCTTCCAGTTTCTACAGTCTCTTATTGTAGTCTTTGTTGTGTTGGTTTTAAGGAGGATGTTTTACATATAGGAGAGAAAATTATCTAGATTATTTGGGTGTTACCTTTCACATTAAATCAGAACAATTATTTGTCAGAAGAAAAACACACACAAAAAAAGTTAAAAAGTATCAAAGCCAACAATCATAGAAGATGTTTAGGCTCTATATTTGTGTCTGTCATGAGTTTCATGGTGTTTTATTAAAAGCCCCTTCTCTTGTATTCAGAAAATGATGTGAAAATATCTTCTACTTACCTAAATACATGTACTTATATATGATAGATGGGAAGAGAAAACATGAAAGCCAAACCAGCATGGAGGGTATTCCAGGCACAGGGGCAAGCTCCCAGCTCTCACAGATATCCACTGAGAGCAGAGGGAAGTCCCAGGCTGGGCAGGGACATACACTCCCCATCTCCCCACTGATGGGCACCCGCAGCCTGCTCTGTCCTTCATCCAGCCTTTCCTCTTTTCCTCCAGCCAGTGTTTTCACAGCAATTTTGTTGCTTTAGTAGCCTGTGGTAATTTTGCACGGCAGGGTATTTGCTATCATGATTTTTGGCAGTCATTCCTCTAACATTTGGGTGCTATCTTGACAGAGAGTGGTGCATAGTGTCAAACAGCCGATTTTCATCTGTTTGTATCTTGTTCTGTAGAGAGGCATTTGAATAGCACCAGAGAGCTATCTGATTTTCAAGGGCTCAGTTTATATCCTGTTGCCTAGGTGAGCTGGAGTTTTAGATGCCGACTGATCTCTTATCTCGGGGAGGGGGGTGGGAATTGAAAAAGGTATTAATACAACATGAATGTGTTGACAAATCCTGGGTGAGGTTATGACTTAGCTGTAATTCTCTTCTACACAACAGTAGCGAGTTCAGTCCCAGTAACTGAGATGATTTCTGCGATTCCAGCTCTGCCACTCATACAAAGTGGTTGTGCCATACGACTTTTTCCCTTCAATGGCCACCTTTCTCTCTGCTTGCTCAGCCCCATCTGGCTCTTGCAGGTCCTTCCCAGGCAGAGAGAGAGAGCTCCTTCCCAGACTGGAAGGAGCGGAGGGAGCAGGTCCCTCACTGACATTGCTTCCCAAGATGCTGAGAGACCCCAGGCAGAATACAGCATCCCTGCTACCACTGACCCTGCCAGCCCTCCACCTCTCCTGTGGTCTCACTCAGGGGCTTACCAAGCCTGGCATCTTTACTGTGGTGACGGATGCCACATTCCCACCAGTTACGCCTGAGATCAGCAGATGCTCCGAAAATGTGCATCTGCTCCAAAAATGAGATCCCTGAGTGAGAAGGGGCACTTTGGGAAGGAGGAGATGTGGTCTCCCTTCTTTAATCTCCTCCCTGCAGAACAGCCCATGTCAGTACTTACCCTCTCTGCAAAAGTTCTTTGAAACCTTTCAGCAGAAAACACAAAGGACCTTTCCCTGTTGCCCTCCACCCAGCAACAGTGAAAGCAGGTCCCATCAAGCTGTGCAAACTGTGAGATGTTGCTGGAGCTGCTGCAGGCAGGAGCTCCAGCAGGAGCTGCCATTTGGAAACTGAGATCCAGCCCTGGCGCAGGCCTGTGCTGGGGCAGCCGTGCCAGGCCGCTCCTGCCCACCAGCGCGGTCCCCACTGCCTGCTCACCACGGTGCTTTTTTGTTGCCCAGGTTTGTAGGCTGGTGGCCCACACAGCAAATTAGTGGAGAGAAACTCAACAGCTGGATCCAGATACATCATCTAGTGCCCACCCACGTTTTCCAAAATATTCAAACTGCTTCAGGTCACTCTCTTTTCCAAACTTGGAAGCTCCCAGTGTTGATTCTTTGCTCCCAATAGCACTAATGAGCAGGGCAAGGCAAAGCTTGACTGCATTTATCCTGTGCTGGAAAATAAAGCAACCACTTTCTTTATTCTCTTATTTCCCTGCAAAAACTAATCCTTCCCTAGTTTCAGGTACAAGAAATAAGAAAGCAACAGGAGTCATGGAAAGGTTGAACTGCACTGAATGGTTGAGACAGGAATTTACCAGATTAAAAATAGCACTCTCTCATGTACACACCCACACCTGACCTTGCGGCCCTGATCTTCATTTAGAGACAAGGGAGATCTCACCCATGTAGGCAGTGGACTCCAGTATGGGATTCTTAGGTCCAAAACTGGCCATGTGAATGACACAAAGGTCATGCAGTCACCCCAGTGACCAAAACCATCATCATTACAGCTGTCTAAAATTAAATAACATGAGCCTGTTCGCTCAAGTATGTCTTATGCCACAGTGACCCTCCACACCTGAGCAGCCTCTGAGGGTTTTGAGCACTGGGCATTACTGGTGTTCTTCTCTCCTGCCAGGGGTTAGCCACGCTGATGCTCGGCAGCCTGGAAAATCTCCCGGCTTCAGTGTGAACTGGATTGTGGGGAACACCGATCTGGAGGTTATCAACGCCACGACAGGGAAGAGGACCTGTGGGAGTCCCTCACGGCTCTGCAAGCACATGTTCTTCACCCGGTGGGCAGAGCTTCACGGCAAGGTAGGTCTGATGCACTGACAGGACACTGCCATCAGCAGTGGGTGGGCTAGTCCTTACCTCAGAGTCAACCCTTGAAATCAGAGAGCCTTCAGCACCTGGCTACTCACGCTGCAAGGAGCAGCTGAGTTTTCATGAGTTTTAGCAATCTCATGATGAAGTTGCAGCCCCCACAGGTGTCCTGTGTCCCTCCTGGTAGGGCCTGGGAGAAGATCAGGAGCTGGGAGTCCAGAGAAAGCCAAGGGCAGAAACCCAGGTGGGCTTGGAGGGGAGATGGGTGTTCTGGCTGCCCTTGGTGATGGAGCCATGCTCAGATGAGGAGTCAAAAGGGAAGAGAGTGTTAAGTGTCCATACAAGCACAACCGGGTAATTTTTATGCATCTCATCCCAAGTATCCCCTTGGCTCTAAGGGGAGTATTAAACTCACTAAGCCTTAGAGGTCTGAGGAAAGTATTTCTCATCACTTTGGAGGCCTCTACCTCACTTCATTGTTTCACAATGTTTCCCAACATAAACTGCTTCCAGTTTCACCCAGGTTAGTTGACTAAAGCAGGTGCTATGGATTTCCCACTCCATTCCCCACTCTCCCAGATGTGCTGCTAGATCCATACAATGGTACAGCTGCTCCTGGCAGCATGAGTGGCCAGGTGCTGAAGGCTCTTTGATTTCATTACATTTAGCAGCACTACAATTTAATGGCATTAAAACTACAGGTTGTACCTTATTAAAATGGCCACCACCCCGTGACAGCCCTGCTTTCTCTGGGGAAGATGGCCCAGTGCCTTATTCAAAATGGCACTGAGGTTAACCTGCCCTCGCACTTCACTTTATTTGCCATAGACAGGAGACAGTGGCAGGACAGAAGGATAGCCAAAAACTACAGGGTGGAGCCTAGGGATACAGGACATATCAGAAGCTTGATGTGGAATAAGGAAATTTTCCTCTCATTATTCCTAGTTCTGGAGTCACCATTTCTCCTCTTGCCTGACCCTTCAAGGTGGTGCTGGGGGAGAGAAGGACACAGATACCAAGATGGTGAGGCTGATCCCACCACTTCCAGGAGGAGCAGTAGGGAAAATGCAAAGTGCCCCTTCACCTCACCTACTTTCACTGCTCGAATATTAATTTGCTATAAGGACTCTTGTTAAGAATTGTTCTGCAGTCCATGTAGAGTGGAAGAAGACAAGAAAAGAAAAAATTATTAAGTGCCAAAATCTTTTTATTATTGGTAAACGAGTGAAAAAGAACACAGCAGACTGATGGCAGGGAAGTCTGGAGCCACTTCCACCAACAAAGTCATTTGGGAAGGCAAAGGGACAGGCAGGGTGGGGATGTATGAGGACAAGCCCACAGGGGTTGTTCTGCTCTGTAGAAGACCCCAGGGAAGGAGGCTGGTGGGACTCATCCCAGCCCAGGCAGTGGCATGACCTTTCCTAGCAGGGATCCTGAGCCTGGGGGGAGCAGAAGGGACCAGCCTGGGCTTCATGCCGAGGGCTCAGTCACAGTACAGTGGCACAGGTCCCAACCTATTTATTGCACAGCAGGTGGTATGGGAACCAGGACAAGAAGCACTCCTGCTGCCCCCAAAATGGAGGGATTCTCATGGGAACAAAACCTGGGACAAGTTGGGCCCCAGGGCAGGCTATGGCCAGGACTATGGCTGGGAGAGCTGGACTGCAACTGCTGGCACTGGGGATGGGGTTGGGTCTAAACAGGAGGGAGTAACTCTTGGCTGAGCAGGCCACTTCGCTTTTGAGAAAACAAGGAGTTTGTTAATGTCCTCGGTGTCCACCTCTGGGTAACAAAGGGGCAGCTGGAGCAGAGCCACTGCCAGCCGGGCCAGCTTGGTCCCAGGCTGGCAGCATCACCCCCTCAAGGGCTGGGCCATACACCCCGTGGTGCGCTGGCATCACCCGCACCAGCACAGCTCACTGCAGGCTGTCCATTTGCCTTTTCCTTTAATCTGTCTTTCAGCATCTTTCCTTTATAGAGAGAAGGAAAACAGTGTTGTTTGCTCTCCAAGGCAGTGTTGTGAGGGTGCTGTGTCCCTGGTTTGTAAGCGTTGGACTTTCACCCATCTGGTGCTCTAAGGCGTTTTCCAGACTTCAGTTTCTTTCATATTTCGTGTTAAGACTGGGGCAGGTCAGAGGAGGTTGTTTATTTAGGTTTAATGCAAAGCGAAGGGGGCTCGCTCCTGTGTATGTGCTCCGGGGGTGAGTGGCAGTGGACACACGTTGCTGTCTCCCGAGGCAGCTCCTGGCAGGTGGCTCTGGTGTCCTGGCAGAGCACGTGGTTTTCCCACACCAGCATGAATCCTGACAGCTGATTTCTGCCTTGTCCTGGAAGGTTTCACAACATCTCTTACAATAACACATTAAAGAGGGAAAAGAGGGGAATGTGGGAGGGGACCCTCCTTCTTGTGTCTCTTGGCATTACTCAGAAGCACTGAGCAGCTCCGCTTCCCAGGCTAAACTGAGCACATTCTTTAAAGATCCCCAGGAAGGATTTTTTCACTTTTTTTTCCCCCTAAAAATCATCTTAACTGAGAAGTAGATTTTTGCCTTTGTAAAACACACCAAGATTTGCTACTGCTTATGCCCACTCCAAAGCAAAGCTGTTTACCCCATTCCTCTTGACAATGGCTCGAAACCATGTCACTGGCATTTATTGCTTCCCTGGTTTTTTGTTGTTAAACCAAAAGCAAACACACAAAGCACAGTGATAGTTTGTTTGTTGCTTATGAAATGTAGACAGGAAGATTACACAGCTATTGAAGCCTCCTGTTTCTTTTGGCTCGTTGGTTGATTTTTTTAATTTTTTATTTTTTTCCCCTTCCCTGATTTTTGTTCTGCAGCTGAGCACACGAATCCCAAGCCATGGAGACATGCCATCAGTGTACAGCGAGGCAAAGCTGGTGGCTCAGACGTACCAGTCTGTCAAGCAGCAGCTGTTTAAAGCGTTTCAGAAAGCCGGTCTGGGCACCTGGGTGAAGAAACCCCCAGAGCAAGATCAGTTCCTACTAACTGTATAAATCACTTGACACCTTTGCTACATGACCGGATCAAATCAGCTGGAGAGCGGGCTAGGGAGGATGCGTGAGCCAAGAGAATTGAAGCAGTTTGCAGTTTAATAGCAACCTCCATGGGAATATTTGCTTTTAATTCTGTATTGGAAAAACATAAATAGAAATGTGTCTGATGCACTGAACTCGACTTTAGAAAACTGCTTTTTCACGTTCCCTTCCCAAGAATGTACCTGCCCAAATTATGCCACCTCCACTAAGATTCTGCTTTTCATTGTTTATTGCTGTTGGTTATTACTGATTTGAGGTGTTAGCAGGCCACCTGTCTGATCCAAAATAGTTTGTTTTCCCTCACACAATCAGTGCAAGAGTCATCACTGAATAATGGAAAATAGTGAGCAAAGATGGAAGTACCCCAGGCACATGGCATGACAGCAGGTCTCAGAACATCCATAATCATCCATGTCTAACCTCTATGCAAAAAACATCCTGTTAGCTGCCTAAATCTGTGAGAAAGAATTTGGACCTCAAAGATATGCAGCATTTTTAAACTGTTTTCCACTGCTGACTCTGAGCACAAAGTCAGGCATCGGGATTCCCTTGGTTTTTACACTTCCTCTGATGCCTTGGACAAACCACTTCCTACCAAATCTTCAAATCTGGCCACAAGCTCTGCACACTGCAAATTTGAATTATCGAGGCCCACGTCACACATGCCCTTTAGACAGCAGCCAGGATGCAGCTGTCCTTGAAGAGGGCGATCCAACCCTAATCTTCAAATCTGGCCACAAGCTCTGCACACTGCAAATTTGAATTATCGAGGCCCAGTTCGTCACACGTGCCCTTTAGACAGCAGCCAGGATGCAGCTGTCCTTGAAGAGGGCGATCCAACCCTGTGCTGCCTGCAGAGGTGCACAGCTCCGGTGAAGACTGGTGTGATGGCACAGGCAGCTCCGGAGCTTCAGGTAGCTGCCTAAAATCAGGCAGGCTGGAGCCAGGACCGAGACCCTTAGTTTTCAAACCTTTAAGGATCCATGGCTCTAAATTAAGCAGGTGTGAGCTCAGAATGCTCCGTACATCTGAAAAATTGCTGGGTTGGGTAGCCACAACTAAGACATCCCAAACTAGAGAGCATATTTGATACCTGGCTTTTTCCTCCTTCAGTTTCTCCATCTAACAAATGGGGCTAATAACACTTACCTGCTTCCCATCTAAGGAACTTGGCAGGAACAAAGTGCTCTGGTCACATGCAACGGTGTAAGCCAGATTCCATCGCTCTTGCGGTGAGTCTTACCTCCCCACATCGTCCAATTGACATTAAGTGCAGCAGACCCAGCTGCAGGTTTAGGTAAGGTCTTACTCAACGTAAGAACTTCCAGATTCTAGCTCTGAGTAAATGCCAAGTATTGTTATTATCCATGTTCATCTACAGTTTGAAATGCAGGTGGGTTTTTTCAGTTAGGAGGCAAGTAGCCAGGAGTTAAATATTTCCTTCATAACTGTCTGGGTGTGATATAATCTCATCTTTGAACCATCCCAAACTTCATCAGAATGCAGAAGATACAGTCATGGGAGAACTGAGCTTTGATAGTCCCACTGTAGAACCAACCTTCAAATGCCCTGTATATTTCTTTCAGTTTTGGGTTTTCTAAATGACAGGATTTGCGGGTATGTAACTACTGTTTTCTTTTTATTCCTGTGATTCTCTTTAAATCTGTATATAACATGCTGCTACTGATTTGTGATAATTGTCTTGGTATTTTCTCAGAACTGTCAAGCTGAGTTACTTTTCAAACAACACATGGCTCATATTTTTCCATGTAATTTCCTTTACACGGGAAACTGTTCCTATCAATAAAGATAGATGCTCTTTGTATAGGGTTTATCATGTTTGGAGAGCCATATACAGTAAATACATTGTTTATTGATGCCCACAATAGAATAGCTACAGTATTTTGATGAGATTTTATTTTTAGATTATAAACTACAAGATGTATCTATAGTGTCTTGTATAAAAAGAATTGTGATAAACTAGAATTTTTAAATTAGATAAAACAAAGCTCTCCCCTTCCAGGAACCTTTTCAGCAAAATAATACATTCCATATTAACTACCAAAAATATTATTTAAAAAAAATCTTTAGTGTAGAAATAGTTAAAAACAAACAAACAAAAAAAAAGGAGATGTTTCAATAATGGAGGCATTTTGTGGAAACCACTTTGTCAATACTTCAACCACTTTGTCAGCTCTTCTGATGTACACTTAGAACATTTTTGGCACTTTCTAGAGCTTCCCGGACCTCCGCACAATCCCGTCCTCTAACAGAGCTGTCACTGGTGCAGACCTCCAGTGTGATCTGGGCAGTGAAGGTGCCCAGAAGGGTGGGGGGGGCAGTGGGAGGCAGGTCAGGCCCACGGCTGGAGGTCTTGGGGGGACCTGTGGGTGACACTGGCAGTGGTATTCCCATGGGCTTCGGCTGCTCCCATCAAGGGACAGAAACCACAGGGCAACCAGAGAGGAGTAAAAGACTTCTCATGCGGAGATCCACAGAGCAAGGGGAAGCAGTATCTTCTACTTTTCCTCTCCAAGTTAGTCTTTATCTAGCACACAAGAGACCTCAAGGCTCCTCCTGACATCTCCCTGCCCTCATCCACCCTCCTCCAGCCCTGGCATGACGTCAGCTCAACTAACACATATAGCTCCACGGGCCAGTGTTGCAGCTACTGTGACAAAACACTGTGCCTGGTTATTTTTAAGGACAAAAAGCAAAGTGTGGTGGGATCAAATTCTCCTTTGTTCCAAGAAACACAAAAATTCAATGCTGGATTCAGCTGCCAGAACAAATGTAATAGTGGGGATCCAAACAAATCCCCACTGCAAGTGGGCATCAGCTGATCTATCTGACTGAGGACAATGGAGTTGCACCTGCTTGCACTAGGGTTGAATATGACCTCAAATGTCTACTTCTTCTCATCATGTGCAGTGAGAGAGGGACCACATCCCAGAAGCACACATGACCTACACACAGCATTTCCTGAAGCAAAGGAAGACTTGCTCAGTAGTAACTCTTTAGTGAAGATTCTGTACATAACACGCATGAGTGAATGGCAATACTGTACTAATGGATGTACATTTGTAATATTTGTAAAAAAAAGAAACAAAAAAGACAACAAAAGAAAATAAATCTGAATTTACATATGTGAATTTGCTGCTAAGTTCTGTAAATTGCACTTCAGTGATACCTGATAAGTGAATGTTTCTGTTAAGTGAATAAAATGCCAAGTGAAATTGTTCTTTCACTGTTTGTTGACCATTTTTCGCTGTGGCTTAGCAATCAGTTTGAATGTGCTTCAAAATGCTAGCATTTATTTTTACACACACCTATTGTAGGTCTATAGAAAACATGTTCTTACGCAGTTTGGATTTGATGTAGGAATCACATACTTGTATTGTGATGGATGTGCCCACTCATGTAGAAGGAGTCATACGGAGACACAGTCTTAGCCTAGCAGAGTGAACTGGATCCATCTCTAATTTGACCCTTCCAGGTTACTCTCAGAGGTCTTTCTTAATGAAAATTAGATACATTTTTGAAAACTCATACTGCATGGGTTTGCTATATACAGTTGCTTAAGAAAACTAAAGTGACAAAAGGTCAGTACGTCTCTGCAGATTTCTTCTTCATTGATGGAGTGTCCTTGGCTTGTTCTTGCTTTAAACTACCAGTATTCAGCTACAGCAGACTAAAGTCACACTGGGTCCAAATGACACCATCCAGACAAAAGTTTAACATTCATTATTGTATGAGCACACCTGGTGCCTTGAGATGATTTCCCTTGGCCAGTCTTCATAGAGATCACTGGTGTTACCAAAGACTCCAAAGCCTTCCAGAAGCACCTGCTGTCGAAGCATAAATACACTAACAGTGAAAACAGACTAAAAAAGAGATTTCCATGTCCACCTCCTTGTGAAGAGTTGGTTCCAATGTGAAATTGAGCCCAACAGCTCACAGGGAGCCCCACCAGCTTGCTGGCCCCCAAGCTCTTTTCTTGCCCATGGTGAAGAGTCAGTGCCAGACCGACGTGGACCATTCCATGGGTTTCGTTCCCCAACACAGCAGGGCAAGGACTACACATATCTTCCTTTTCAAGGTAAGACTTAGCTGTACTTGCATTTCCTTAGCTTGGATCTCTGTCATTAGGTGTTTGGGTGGGATAAGGAGGATAGGGAAGAAGAAAGCATTTGCAGAGTGAAATTGTGTGGGAAAAAGTCACTGTGAGCTGACCCGATTCCACCATCCAGAGTGGATTTATGCCTGGAGTCATAAAAGCAACAGATTCTCAGCATCTGTAAACCTCAAAATGTGTTTGCAAACATATATTTTAGTTCTTTAACTGGGTATAGGTAAAGCAAAGCCCATAGTCTGACTCGGATACAGCAATTACTTCCCTACCAGTAAAAATGGTTACAGTAGAGTAACACTGTCTGAAACAGAAAGAAGTTACACCAACAGAAGGGCAGTTTGAACCACTATCCACCCCCAAGGTGATGAGCTCATAATTATTTTGTCAAGTATTTTGACACAAATATGTGTCAAAAAATGTAAATGCCCAAATTCTTAGCTTGGCGAAAGCCGCTCATGGCATCAGCTTTCTCACAGAGGGCTCTGGAGGGAATGTGCTGAGATCAGCCCTGGTGCAGATGCAGGAACAAGCCCAGCTTTGGGCACTCAGGGCAAAGGGCGGAGGTGAGGAGGTCCCTACGTGGCTTCCCAGCAGCCTGGCACCCCCTCAGTCCTCTCCTGGGCAGTTTGGCTGCAGCTGAGTTCACAGCAGGTGTTTTCCAGCCTGTTTTCTCCTCTAAAAGTAGCTGCTACTGCCTGACCATGGCAGACACCGTGACACGATTTGGCTGCCAACAACAACTACAAAGCAGCCATTAGGGTAAATTGTATGGATGGATTCTGTGTTTAATCTCATTAAGTTTAAAGGCTAAATACCAGAACTGCAT